GAAAGGAATCCCGATGGATTCAGATGACATTGTCCCTGTACATGCCTCGTATGGACGAACAGCTGCCAGGGGCCTCACTGAACCTTTTTTCACTTGGGTCTTCGCACAGGCTGGCCACTCTTGAATTTCTGCACAGCATAACTCTGATCATAATTCGAGCTGCCTTGGGAAGTCCAACTGCTCAGAAGGCATGCAAGCAATGTTAATCCTGGTACTGAAGTCGGCAAACAGATTCCTAAAAGGGGTGAGAGGTCGTGTACAGAGTTCCATAATCTGACCACCATGAGACCGAGGAGGATTAGCTACAGTACCACCGAGCAGGTTGAGCCTGGAGGAACCGTCAGATATGACGAATCTACAATGCGTGAACTTGGTGATCTAACGAGTTAGGGATCAGAGGTAATGGTGGTGGTGTGTGGAGGGTTGACCGTTGGGCGGCTGGCTCATTCGTCGACGAACCCTCAAGTGCCGAACAGTTCCCCACAAATGCCGATCCACATCAGCCTGGGAGTTCGCTGCTTTCTGGACAATTACATTGAGAGACCGTCACGAGGCTGACGGGGATGCGACATCCTGCATGATCAAGGGCAGGACTATTGGAGGCTAACATAGCTGGGGATCCTTGCAGCAAGGCGAAATCTGCCCACCCATGGGGCTCCACCATCAGGTTGTGCGGACGTTTACTTCGGCCGGTTCGGGAAAGTCCATCCATCGGTGGTGAAGAAATGTCAGCCGAAGTCATCCGTTTTGAACTCGCCCCAACGACAGGACAGATTTGTGGAATCTCTCTCCATCGCGGGTGTGGAAGCCCTGTCGGCCCGATAATGTTGGAGCACTTCGTGTGGGTAAGTACTACGAATTGTTCTCCTCGCTAGTATCATGCATTAAGACCGTGTGCCAGGGCCGCTGACATAGTATCGTGCTGGGCCATTGGTTACAATATTGGTTGTGCCTGAGCCGTCTAACCGCGTGTGAGACATAAGAGAATGCTAGGCGATCTTACTCCCCGAGGGAAGATTGCGGAATTTTGACGAATCCACTCGGGTAGCGAAGGGCCGAGATCCGAATGCTCCACACTACGGAAATGGTCGCGCTGTCCAAAGTACCGATCTCCAGGGGAAGCGAACAATCAGGGCAGTGCATAACCCTGGCATGGGTCGCCAGTCGCCCAAGCCCAGACGTGATCATGCATGGCCACTCCATATTCCATGTCGTTGATATTCTGTCTTCATACCCCACAGTAAATCGACTGTTGATTTTGCTGGGTACCAAGCACTCCATTGAATCCTGTGACCCAGCAGTCCTGCGTGACTATGAGCAAAGGGCAGTTGTGTTGCATGCTTACCGGCAAGAGCTACATTATCGGGGGGTGGAGACACAGATATCACCGATGAAGCACATTGCATTGGGCCCTACTCTTGAGCAAGCAAGACTCAAAGACTGAGCACGAAATTGCTCACTGGCCCGAATCGTCATAGTATATCCATTAATAACCACCGCTGACCTAAAAGTACAGTCATAAAAGGTAGACCTCAATTTTGGCCCGCATTGTCTGCTTGTCGCTAGAACATAGCTGATGGGAACATGATTAGCCCGACTTGATCTGGAATAGTACGCTGTCCACTGAGCTTGTGGCTACTAGCATACTCCGTTCTCAGGTTTAGTTTACAAAGTAAGCACGTAGGGGGACTTTGCTACATGACCCTGCTTCGAATTCGGGACAACAAGAATGGAAGTCACCAAATTTCGACCTAACCATAGGTCGAATTCATTTTGAGTCCTGCTGCTACCGAAACCAGGATGATACTCCAGCGTTTGACCGGGAGACCGAGACCCGCATGAGAACTATTGAGAAGGTTTGCCATAGCACCATCCACGGCGTCAATTGATAGGCATTTGCCAAGTGTACTGACCGCGTTAGTGGGTGCTCCGGCCCCAGCTAATGCATATCGGACGTTTACGGACCAACCTAATGTCGGCGGCTCGTCCAAGACGTCAACGTTCACACCCAAAACCTTAAAACGACTGCCATCACGGATCAGGTGGCCACTGAAAATCGGAGAGTTTTCCCGATCGTTGAATTGTGTACTATTACTATGCTACTCCTTCATCATTCTCGTAGTAAATTAGCAACCTGAGTGCCGACTGTTTTGTGTGGAGCTTTCATTAAATAATAGTCTGATGAAGACATCAGCACTCCTCACGGAAGGGTTGATGGTGTCTAGCTTGGAACATTACTGCTTTCTGAACAGGAGACAGGATAGGCCACCATACTTTTCACGCATAAGATGGAGACTGCGTCGTGTAGATAGGTGGGGATTCCCCTGTTTCAACGAGAGAAGCAAGTACCAGGCTAGCTTCTGGTGGCGCTCTTAGTGTTTTCCGGCTCAAGGCTAAGCCGCGGAGGAGGCTTGGTATCAGCCTGAGTTCGAGGCGATTTTTTAAGCGAATACTGAGAACGCGCTGAGTTGCCTAAAGAGGTTAGCTCTGTGTATATGCAACCACTTAACTCCCAAGGCCTTGGACGTACATTAGGGCGCCACTCGAGATTTTAGTACAGGGATTGACCCATTCTGTCTGGTCATGTTAAAGTCATCTCATGGGGCCGACTACGGCCTCTTCCTCTATGAGAGGAAGAACAAGTGGAGGCTAACATAGCTGGAGATCCTTGCTGAAGGGCGAACTCTGTCGAACCTGCCAAGCAGGAAATCTTTCTGACCATGTTGTGGGTTGGCTCACCTCCAAAAGTTCATCCGTCGATCGTGAATAATGTCACTTCGAGGCAACCGCACTGAATTCACTCCTTGGATAAGAAGGAAACTGAAGAACTTTCTCCACCGCAGTCACGGACGTCCTTGTCGCTCGAGTAATGTTGGAGCAATTTGTGCAATGGCGAAATGTGGTTTCCTAGCTAATGTCTTGCATTACGAAATATGGCTAGAACAGGCACCGAAGGGTCTGGCATAATCTGTGGCAAGGTGTCAGGTGGTGTACTGAGACGTTGGTTGCCATCTATGTCTGGGACATTTAACGGCTTCTGCATGTACAGGGAGACGCGAAGGTTCTAGGGCTCCGGGAAAGGTAACGCTGAACGAGGTAAAGATCTACAGCGTAAGCGAAAAATCAGGGCGGGCGGCAACACGGGCATCGTTCACCAGCCATCCAACGTCCAGAACGTCCAGAGGCGGATCATGCATGGTCATTCCATGGTCAGTTTTGGTCACATAGTCGTACTCCGTATCAGTTGAGTACTGAGGACCCCTTAAAACCCTGTGACCCATCGGTCCTGCGCGACCATGAGGAAAGACAGTTGTGCTGCATGCTTATGAATACTCGCTAAATGCCTCAGGCGAAATGCAGGCACAAAAGCAAACGGTGGAGCACATCGGTTTGCGCCATAACAGTTAAGCGGGCGAAACTCGAAAGCCGCCAAGAAAATTGCCGAGGTGGCAGACTCATCATAATGAATCCACAAATTACCCACTGACCAAGGTGGTGCTATGGGGAAGACGTCTCGATTCTGGCACACTTTCATTTGTACCTCGTAATGTCTGCTTGTCGCTAGACCGTAGCTCAATGGCACATAATCAGCCCCACTTGATCTGGAATAGCACGCTGTCCTCTGAGCTTGCTGAGGCCAGTACCCTGTATCCTCAAGTCCACCGAGTGAGCAGTCCACGGAGTGACACGCATAGAGAATATGCTATACAGTCCGCGTGAAGATGGACGGGGTGTCCGTAAGACAGTGCCTGATCGCCATGGGTGCGCGTATCATGTGCGTATCGTTGCACGTATTTCGTATTGCTGGCTGCGGGTAGGCGTGGTAGGAAATATCCTTTCCAGTAATGGAAAATACCGCTTTGGGCTTCAATGGTCGGATTTCGACTTTCAGGGCAGCAGCGAAGGATGCAACCAGCAGGCCTCACGAGAAGTATTCGATACAATGATTCCCAATGATTCTTGGCACAACCTTTTACCACATCTTTCGGCTGGCGATTCGGCAATCGCCAGAAATCCTATCAACGATCTGCTTGGATTCTGAAGCACGTGACATTCATCCTACTAGTCCGCAATTCTCTCATGCTCTGACTTTCCACAATGCTTTCACTTCCCAAAGCTCCGACATTGATCTCTCTAATTTACTGATCTCTCTACGCTCCAAAGCGCCCTCGCTGTACGCCAAAGTCCCTAGTATCTCCACCCATGGATTGTGTATGCCATTGGAGCTCTCATGCATAGCGGGTGCCTTCACCCAACACGCGTCACCCCCTATGATTGTACCTCCTACGATGAAAGTCCTCATATCCTTTCCGAAATACCGAAAGGCGGTCAAGCGGAAACGGTCTGCAAGCTTGTGGATTGCTGTTGAGTTATGAAAGGAACACGTGAGGCCAGTCTGCAAAAGGAAGCCACGATCTGTTGCCATTACGATGAACTTCTCAGATAGATATGCACCCTAATGCCACTGGTAGTAATATGTTTGATGATCCAACCTCACAGCGTCCCCTGATGCTGAACTCGATGCCCCAGGCGTCCAAAACTGATGGCGGGATTATCAGCTTGTCATGGCGCAAGTCGATCGAAGTTCACCAAATCTGTCCCCAAGAAAAATTGCTATCTCGTCCAGGTGCAGCCAAGGGTTTGTGCGTTGCCCATATCCTCTACTGAAGTGCCGCGGGTGCTTACATCGACCGCATCCTTGATGACCTTGATCGTGAGGATACACTGGCAGACGGATCTACACATTTGGGATATCTCACGACGCTTAGAGTTGGTGGTTGGTGGGATGGACGGATTGGAGCATATTGGTGGCAAATGACTGTTGGTGGCATTGTGGAATTACCTTAATTGGAGTTATGCTTCTCGAGTGTGATTCACTTCCAACTATACATCATTTCAACAAGTCGATGCAGATTCACCCATACCTTAACACTGAAGACTCTGGATATACCGTGCAGTCTCTCCTCCCATACTCGATAGAATGACACAAAGCAAATCCTTCAGCGCCGCCTTCCTTTCTTATTGATACCGCGGCCCCATACGAACGAATCTTTTAGTTGTGCATTCAAAGATTCGATCTCTCTATCCCGCTGCTGCACTTGGAGCTCCACATTCCATATACGATCGTCGAATTTATCTTCAGCAGATTCACCTGACACTCCATGAGCGAGTAGGCGCCGGGAAAGCTTTCGTGCTAGATCTAGTCCGAAATCACCGCCGCGACCAACAAGAGCCTCGAAGCTGCCATGGAGAATAGAGGTGTAATTGATAGCTGCAAATTGAGACAGTAGCTTCCTCATCGGTTCTTCGCCGTCTTGATCAGCAGAGATATTGTCATAGACAAACTCAATGAGCTCTGTAAGCTCCTGTTCGGCGTACTCAACGGAGCAGTCCAATTTCCTCAGAGTGATTATCATTCGCTGAAGTGCCAATTGCTGCAGTTTGAAGAGAAGATGATACTTCGCGAAGCTGTACACCTCCGCATGAGCAAGTAGTGGGTCGCGATAAGAAAAGGTTTCATGAGGAAAGCTTTGCTCCTCAAATACCCCAGCTGCAGTTTTGTACGTAGACATAATGGGCGCAACCTCGACACACCTCCCGAGTGGTGTTAATGGGCGAATACTACATGATTCGAAAATCGCATCCTGCAATTGCTGGTCTTCTGCTTCAAACCTACCAAATACTGCTACTGTCTCATCTGGTATGGCTTCCACCACAAGTTCTGGCTCGAGGTCTAGATCACCTTCGGGGTGGTTCTGCCCATCATCAAATGGGGTCTCATAGGTATTTCCATTCCGTCCGATCCCGGCGTCATGTGTGCCGCTGTCCACCTCATCTGCAACCCCTCCAGAGGTTCGGATCACTGGCTCGGGGCTTTGGTAGTCGTGGAAATAAAGCCACGTCAGGACTCGTTCAACTGTCTCGGAACTTGTGTGCGTCCAGTCAACGCATCCTTCCTCTGATTCCCTGAAGCCTGGCTCAACCAGTCTTCGAAGTGAAGGCGAGCTAGACTTTCGAAAAACTGCCTCGTGAACGGTAAGTTTTTGCTTCTCGCTACCCACCTGGATATTGACGCAGCTGCTCCTCAACAATCTAAGCACAAGTAAGCGGTTGTCCGAACATGCTTCTTACGAAGGGAGCAATACTCTGGGTCACGTGTAGAACCAACGGCGGTTATTCTTCCATGAAATAGGTGCCGAGATTTTCGCCACGTATCAAAGCGCCAGATGTCGACGCCTCGTTAGTTAGATTTGTTGTTCTTGCAAGGTGCGCCCAGGGTAATCCCAATCAATAAATTGGCTGGGACTCTTGTTCTCAAAACTCCTCAACCTCAAATGGGATGCAGCACACGAGGCAACCTGTAACTTGATGTCGTGGACAAGCTCACGCCTCTTTGCCATTCAATACGGATTGTTTAAGAACAACCAAGAAAATGGCCATGCTCAATGTGATCTCCGGGATCTTTACATTCTGATTGTTGACACTTGCTTCGGACTCGGCTGAGTCAGATTAGACCTTGGCTCGATACCTTGATTGGTTCATCACGATGTAGAACAATTATATGTGGCTACGACGCAAACCCTTACGATGTGTTGGCCTTTTCAACCCTCCCTCTCTTCTCTGCGGCAGCGAAAGTCACGTGGTAGCGCCAAGTTGACACTTGCCGCTATTGATAAAGCCAAATATAGGTGTTTTAATTCTTTCACGTCGTGCAGAAACGCCCATTGATTTCCCAGCATGTGACTACCTGGCTCTTTGTGCCATTGGTGATATGACCGTTAGCGCTTGATCATTCACAGATTAGTGATCCCCTACTCGTGCTTAGACTATAGGGCCGAGAAATTAAAAAGTGTGTGTTCGCCCGAAGCAGCAATCGAAAACGCCTGTGAAGTTCTGCTAAGCAAAGGGGGATGTTTATTCTGAGAGGACCTACCCAACCCACCTTTCAGAGGGACGGAGTTGTTTGAGGGTGCAGTCGCAGATACCCATCTCGCCCCCCCCCACAAAGGTGTCGTACCACTTCGCCAGAGGCATGCAGTCAAAATGTAACCCTGAGCATCTTCCGGCTAAAAGTACAGAGTAGTTCCGAGGTGCAGATATTATGATTGGCAAGGTATGCTGTGGGGTGCCGGGGCACTAGTTTCCGCGCGTTCCGCGACCTCTAGCGAATTGTGCAGATGCCGAATTGCCAGGGGACATTGCCATCAAAGCAGACTGGGGTGGGACTCAGATTGTCTTACAGTATACTTTTGTTCCAATCAGATCCGCGATGGGTCGGAACGTCGGTTATCCGCTCGACGGTAATGCAGACATCCTGTCCTAGTTATCCAACGCCTAGGTGGGGATTTATGCATAGCTATGCTATACTCGATAAACCAATAGTCCGTGGCCATTTGAGCTTTGGCTTCGCGAGTTCTGTCTTGTGTCATCCCCTGTGACCCCTCGGTCCTGCGCGCTCTGCACCAATGACAGTTGTGCTGCATGCTTACGAGCATTTGTCAAATGCTTGGAGTAATTGAAGGCACAAAAGCCAGTATTGGAGCACATCCATGCGCAGACTACATCCAAGCGGGCGAGACTCAGGAAGATTGCGAAGCAGTTTGCCGAGCCGGCAGAATCACCAGCTTGTCGACAGAAGGCTTCGCCGCAGCTGAATGGCACCTAAGCAGTCCCACTTTATCTGAAATAGCACGCAATCCTCTGAGCTTGCCGAGACCGACACCTCATTCGACTTGTACGGGGATCTGACTATTGTTTTAACGCAGGGTCTCAACAGGTGCAAATAATGAGTCAAATACAATCCTCCTACCTACGTATGGACTGTATTTCTCTGGCCGTTGGCTCTGCTTCCTGTTCCTCCATGGACCCACCCCTGCTGCCACAGGGGTTCCTGCGTGGTCTCGCGCCCTTGACCGGAATTCTCATGTGGTCGTCGCCTAACAGCAAGATGTCATTGGTCTGATTGTCCTGATCGGCGATGAATATGCTTGAGCAACCTAGCTTACATGGAACTATTCTACCGAAGTTGAATCTTTGAAGTACTGTATAACCTAGGTCCAAGTCACAACTTTGCCAAACAGTTTTGGAATGGAAGCGGTTGGAACGCTATTATTTTGCGAGCGTGCGTCGATCCGATGTGTTTCTACGAGAGGACAGATTACTCCTGTCGTGATTGGAAATGGGGCAACATGAAGACACGATGTGCTCGCCAGCCTCGTCTGGGCGAGACTTGTGGAGCGAAGCTTACGGACGGGGACAATGTGAAGATGGTTGACCAAGAATGTCGCGTGTGTCATACTATCAGGATAACGCGAAGAAAATTACAATTCGAGCTCGGCCGCATCGATCGCTGGAGCAAGGAGCCCTTGAAATTCCCCTGCAGCCTCCAAAAATCGGCCCAGATCGCCGCGGCTCTCCAGCAAAAGGTCCATACTCTGCAGCAACAAAGAGCCTCAGTGAAGCTCGCCAGAGGAAAATGCTTCGAGGCGCAGAGTGGTAGTGCCAGTCAAGCGAGCACCCTGATGTAGCAACAGATATCAGGATGTCCATTGGCAAAATTCCTGCGATTCTCTCACCAAACGACTTTGTCTTCAGAGAAGAAACCACCGCTCTCGTGTGCTTTAATCTCCTGTCTTAGAGTTCGAAGTTGCTCTGGATTCTTCAGTGGAAGTCAAACGAAGGCGGAATAAGTGCTTGACAATGCGCCACAAGGATTAGAGAGGTTGCCGTGGCGGATTTCGAGCAGAGTCGTTCGTACTGTCCTTGAACTATTTGTGATTTTGATCGGGTTGAGAGATCCCACCATCGGAGTGACGGGAACTCTGAGATTGAAAAGTCAGACGAGACCTCGGAGCTTAAGAAGTTCTTCGCTTATTGTGGAAATGTGCTCGCAAGTTGATAAAGGGGAACCTGGTGGCCTGGAGTTGACAACTGAGATAGAAGCTATGACTTATTGTAGCTTGAATCCAAATAATTCTTCCGACTTTCTTGACGCTAAGATGGCTTAGGAGTGAACTTTCACGAACCCTACTGCTCTAGATGTGCATTTGAATTGAGTTGATGAATAGTGCTACGGCCATCTTGCGATCCCTAATTTCCACGTGATAATATCCAACTCCTATCTTCGCCTGTACATTTATATCTTTCTCCGTAATCACAATTTGGAGCCTAGAATTCTGTAAATCCTTGAAGTTGCTTCCCTACGGATTAGAAATCCCTAACTACATCGGATTCAGATCCAAGGCAGGCAATCTTCGACAAGACTTCCATGTCGACACCCTTGGCTGCCTCCTCATCCCCTACGAAGTTTATAGGATTTCTTCCGGCCATTGCAGAGAAATTGATAAACGAAGATGAACAACAGAGGGCCAGAATTCTATCCGAGTTGCACGACATACCTCCTTCACACTATCTTGAAGCCTATTTCGATGAATTAAAGGATTTTTCTCGTCCTAGAACCGAAGACACTATCATTGAAGGTGCATGCCGGTTTGCTTTCTTCACCAACCTGGATGGGCCCAAACGAGCCAAATACTACGGCTCTGAACTGAAAGGCCTGCATTACGTGGATTCATTCACAGAATTATGGAACTCTCACTATCCCACAGTGCGCCTAACCGCGGCGCATATGGATGTTAAGCGCGTATGTCCTCCGAGCTGGTCGAGTGTCAAAGGAGACAGCGGATGGACGTTGACTTATCGAGGAGAAGGAACGACAAGTCAAGCTCTCAATGAATTGCTTCTAGGTCCCACTGTCCTTGACTGCGGACTCTGGACCGAAATGGCGGAATGGAACAAAATACGCTGGATGCTGGGAGACCCTGAAGTTGACCTCAAGTTCAAGTTTCGAAAAGGAGAGTTCTATCTAACGCAAAGGTGTTTTACCCCTCGGGGTAATCTCCTTTACCGTTTTTACGACCCTGTCGAGGAGAAACATCGTATCCGGGTGAGGCTTGTGTTCAATCACGCAACATATTCTTATAAACATCCAGGAGGCATGGCACGACTATTCCATGCTTTGGAAGTTGACGGCCGCTGCATGATCTTCTCGCCCGGGGCGTTTAGCCACATCTTGACACCCGTTGAGCTCGACCAGCTGCTTAAAGAACTATACAATGAACCCCGAACGATCGCAGACTTGGAGGAATTGTACGTACGACGGCAGTTTGATAGTACACTTCCCGAAGAACTGGAAACATATGAGGCAACGAAGTTAACGGATGACGAATGGGAGAAGAGCTTTCCAGAACGACTAAGGAAAGCCTGGGGCCGGCATCTTGGTTTCAATCTCTCAAGCCTGGTCAGCTACATTGAAAATCCTTTAGCAGTTGATGATGCTTCAGAACAGCATATTGAGTGCAACGAAATTCTACCTAAAATTTATTATAGTTCTTAACTTAGCTTTCTACACTCTGGACATTCCATAGATTTGCTTCCGGCTCTCCATTCAGAAATGCATGCTTGATGGTAGGAATGGCCACATGGCAAAAATACTATACCATTTGTAAATAAACGACTAAACAGAGAGAAGGTAAAGTTTGGACCCAGTAGTTCCATATCTGTAACGAAACAGACGCTTTCCTGGGGTGCGTGCTCCCTGAAAAACTCGGTGAGTATAGCCGCAGCCAAATTAGATGGAGCTTCTTCGCTTATATTGAGCTTACGCTCGTCCATAACTGCTTTCAGGTACAGCTCGAGCTCTTGAAGGTTGGCCGGCGGAATTACGTCTGCAGGTGTACACATGACCACTTTAAATTGTGTTGTTGGTGTTGATCTTATTTCATCCATTCGTTGACATCTGAACTCGGTTCTTTCGGCTCGTTGAAAGCGGTACTTGAGGGAATTCCTTGCCGACGTAAGTGCGGGTATGCTCGCCTGCTCGAGGATGGTGAAAACGTTATTGAGGAATTGGATTGCCTTCTTAAATCTAGGCAAGACATTGGGAGATATAACGCCATTGGCCCTACATCAACGGATTATCTGCATGGGTGATCTAGATCAGAGTCAGATTGCTTACATTATTCTGCAGCAGTACTCAATAAGTATCCTCATTCGGGATGCTTGCAAGCCCAAAGTAAGGAAAGGAGCCGTACTAGATCGCTGATCCTCTTGGTCATAACGAGCTCGACAGAGATGCCAGCATATCTCAAGGAGATATTCTATTTCAGGAATTCCCCTGAATAATTGGTCAAACGCTCCATCAAGGAACATGAAGGTGTGGTAGAATGCTAGAAGCTCATCCTGTAGTCTTGATTCTTCGAACACAACTGCACCTTTGTTACAACCGTGAAGCTGTAATGCCAACTCTAACAAAGAGCCCAGTGTGAATTTGCTAGAAGCCATATCGTCAGGAGACACTGTGGATTGACCTTTGTCGACGAGGGGTAGATGAGCAACTCTGGATTGGGGGCGGGGCTATTAGAGTTGGGTTCTATCCTGCCGCCAAACAAATCTCGGAACCGAACATTCACACACTCCCGTTTACGGGAGAGAATGTACCGAATGGGCCCCCAAGCCCGCAACTAATCTTAGCAACAGTGGTTGACGGCTACCGCGCGAACGAATTACCGGTACTTCGGCCAGTAGAAAAGCACCTTACAATGGCCCTGGACGCCCTCGATCTCTGACTGAACACTCAGAAGGCTTCAACTCGCCACCAAACTGCGGGCGGTCAGATTCCTTTCCTAGACTCCTCCAAAGACTAGAAGACTTTGAATATCGATTCTGCCATATCCACGCTGGCGCAATAGTTCCCGGCCCCGGTGAACCGGGAACTCGGCCAAGACCATGACACTGACATCTTCGACGCTGGCACCAGCTTCATCTAGTAGCTGCAGTACCGCACAAAGCGTCTGCCCTGTGGAAAGCACATCGTCCACCACCACCACCGACGCACCCTTGGGGATCACGTCCTGCTCCATCTCGATTCGCTCCTTGTTCGAACCGTTGGGTGCCAAAGACGAGATATGCGACGGATATTTGATGACAGAAAGAGTGGGTGGGGGAAGCTTGCCGGCTTCGCGAATCAACACCAGGGGAACATCGATCCGCGAGGCCAATGCAGAGGCATAGACAAAGCCCGCAGCCTCGCAACACACCACCGCGTCGACTTTGGCCCATTCGCCGGCGAAGTGCGTTTGGAACAGAGTCGTGCACAGAGCCAGCCCACCTGGCTGCTGGGAGATGTCGAGCACGTGGCGAAACTCGATATCCGAGCGTGGGAAGTCGGGTACGAGCCGCACCATATTGGCCAGTCGCCGCAGGTCCTCATGGAGGAAGAGCAGCAGGTACTTCTTAGCAAAAGCTTTTGCTGCCTCGTTTCCAGTCGCGTCATTGTGAAAGATGAGACTAGGACGGGAGTCTAATGCTGTTAAATCGGACCTCTCATTGTACATACCCTTGTATTCGTCACGGTCATCACCATCGCAGGATCCGCGGCGAATCAGCCGCGTCTGTTCATTAGCTTGGACGCGAACCTCGATCAGCTTACTGTCTGGCACTAAATGCGATAAGACTGCGACCGGCGCCTCGTCTCTCATTCCCGTGATTAGTAGCACGTCTTCATCTACGGCGCCATACACCGCGTTCAGGAAATGGCTCTCTGGCAGCCGAAGGTGCTGTTGTGCCTGTCCCTGCCAAAATTTCGTTAACGCTGGCCGATGTTGCTCCTTGTAGGCACGGTCCCGGAGCAGGCGGCTCAAGTCCGCACCGGTAGCTGCCGTGTATTCTCGCTTCGTTGCGTCGCTAATGCTGACTGCACGTGCAGTGATATTTTTCTGAGTGCAAGCGATTAGTGTGGAGGTCCAGACATCGGCACAATAGTCCTTGCCCGCGCAGCTTTCGCCTGTGACAAGAATGATGAGCTTCGGTTCCATCGGCACTTCTGGTAGCGGACAGCTGTAGGCCAGCACCCTGCGCGGATCCAAGCTATGTTTGAGACGGGCCAGACGTGGCCGGTTCTGTCCAAAAGCTTTGGCTGCTAGCGCAGCGTCTCTGGGATCTGGTCCGAGGTCGGCGCCGTACGCTCCACTACTCAAGGATAACAAGTCTCCGGCGACACTGTAAACCCATCGTATAGTAGATCGTGCGATTTCGGTGCCATCTTGGTCGCGGGACCAGACACCGGTTATCACACAGGCGAAATCCCAGTCTCGACAGCCAAAAGCAGTCGCATCGGTCACAACGTCGCTGACCGCACCGCCACCTTGCAGTAGATGGAGATAGGAGAGTGGTGAGGGACAACTTGCGACGGCCGCTATTAAGCGTTCGGCAACATTCGCGGTACCAATGCATTTCAAGAACAAACACCGCTTGAAAGAGGAGGTCCGACCGCTGCCATGCCCGCCGTGCATCCCGGACACGTACATCTCAGTCTCGAACAAACCGACGCAATCCACAGCCTTTGAATCCGATGGACCCCAGATTGCACCTATATGCCTGGGTGTGCGCATTGCAGAGGCGCGCGGAGGCGTGGAAGATTCGAGCATGGTCACACCAAGATGCAGCTGATCCTTGTCACGGTACAGATATGCATCTGCAGCACAGTTCCAGGGAAGCTCCTTAGCAACAAGATCAAAATCGCCAAGCTTGAGTCCCGCTTCGATGTTGTCGGTCAGCGGAACGACCCAGTTTTGAACGAGGAACGTTGGAGCCGGGAAAGCCTTGAAGACCACACTGACCACAATACCGAAGTTGGTCCCAGCTCCTTTGATGGCCCATAGCCAATCGGATTCATTCTCGGGGCGAACGGCACCGACTGGTCGTTGTTGGTTTGGTACACGGCCGATGTAGAGGACCTCTCCGGACTTGACGCTGACCACAACCGCGCCGACAATGGCGTCGCACCCGAGTCCGTGCAGTCTAGCCAGATGCCCAATGCCCCCTTGCAACCACAGGCCGGAGCCGACACTTGGACGAGCCCCTAGAGGTACTGTCAAGCCCGCCGCCATTGTCTGGCGGATGATATCTCCCGTCCTGCAGCCGGCCTCAGCGATGACTAAGGGCTCGGAATCCTCGTCATCGTTCCTTTCTGTGACAATGTGTACTTGGTCAAAGGCGCCCATATCGACCGAGATAACGTTGGGCCAGAGACAGTGGTCGCTGTGACCACCGCCAACGACAATCAGGCCGAAACCTCGCTGCAAAGCCCATCGAACGCAATGCTGAATATGTCGGACCTCTGTCGGCCTTACAACTGAGGCAGGGCGATGGAGGCGAGCCTCCCGGTTTTTGATTGTCGTGTTCCCCGTTGATAGTGGCACCTGGGTCGTCAGCTCCGGCAATGTGGTCGCCTGCTGGGTGAAAGACACCATGATCTCGGGAGAGCTGAAATAGAGATGGTCTGGGTGGGTTTCCTCGTGATGACCTAAGGCGCGACAAACTCTACGCCACTCAGTTCGGACAGCCTTGTCCACGTCGACATCATGTGTGACAAACCCGGCAATGAAAGGAGCAAAACAGTCCAGTACCTGGTCGTCATTTGCTATATGAACGACTCCGGTAGGGAAGGAAGCTGTTCGATGGCACACCAACCCGTCGAAATGCAGGGTTCCGTCCCGATGGAACATTGCTACCATTGCGCCCTGTGGTCGCTCAACAAGCATTTCCAACGCCCGTTCAATGAACCTGCGTTTGGGCTTCATGCTATACATACTGTGGCAGAAAAGGATGACGTCGTATTTTTCATCGTCGCCACTTGTACTGATACCAGGATCACTCCCTACATTGTTTGCCGGAACGAATGGAACTCGTTTGATGTTGGGCGGTCCTTGTAGACAGGGAAACGGGGATTCCACTTCAGGGGTAGAGCAAAGCCATTCTTCCAGCCTTGTAGCAAACAAGCCGCTAGGCTCGAAAGCAGTATATCTTTTGACCTTCCGTCTCAGACTGATGGGCAGATATCCAAATACGCTCCTCGGGCCTGGCCCGATTTCTAGCGCTGAGACACGGGTACGCGAGTTGAAGAGTGGGTTTAGTAGATGAGAGAGCTGAGGAATAATGAAGTCTTGGTATGTTTTCCATCCTGATCCCCGCGCCAATATATCGAAGCCGGCGCTATACTCTGTGTCAGACAACTGCTGCTTCGAGGACAACCCGGTTACCGTGGCTGTCTGCCTTAGAGCCCACTTTAGGGAGTCGAGAGTAGCCATTTCAGTTCGGCATGGAGTTTGTATGTCTGTTGCATTCGGAGCAAAGAATGATCGCACAGGTTTTAATAAAGATGTTATTCAACTCGTAAAATGTATAGACGGATAGTACTGGATTGATATCAACCTTTGTTGTGAGGAATGTGCCGTGGAACACTTAATTGAGAGACGCCTTGTGTGAGAGATACTGTACCAGTGATTGTCACCACGTGGCAGATTCGCCACATCACGTTGCAGCGGCCAACGCATGCTCATTCCAGGGCCCCATGTACATAATCCTGCTCTGTGCGTCCAATTGGCAGCTCTGTCCCAAAAACCGAGGTCACCAGCTGATCGCCATAACAGTCGTCGTACATGCTCTAAACCGGACTCCCTACCGGTGAAGCATTCAAACTGGCATTGTTGCCAGTGAAATGGCTGGGCCTCGATGCAACCAGTCGCCCACTTTCGCAGACGGAACGGGCCCTAACTGAACCATAAGCTGGCCAGGTTTCCTCTGGACGTAGCACTTTTTGTCATCTCAGCTTCTCACTCTCCTGGATTTGCACGATTGACTTCGTCAAGCTCACAAACTAACTTTCGTGAAGCCACTGTCGCATATAAAGTCAGCCGTGACTCGCACGATAAAAATCCACGATTCGCCTCACTGGAGAGGAAAAGACTTGTACCACCCAACAGTCTGTCAAGATGGGACAACAATGGAAACCAAGAGGCTATCAGAAGCTGGCGGATCTCATGGGCTCGCATAAGGATGTAGCAATATTTCGCAGATTTCCCGCGCTTACAATGTTGATTCTGCTAAAGCTTCAAGCGGAGTTAATCGATGTTGAGCTTCGGCTTCGGAAAGCTTGCCAGGACGACGAATTGACCAGTAATGCTACGGCGAAGCTGTATTCAGTGAATTTCCACACTCTTCATCATGCCGGACAGTGCAGCTCTCAGTTCGGACTCCTGATGGAATGCCAAGAGAAACTGCAGGTTTATCGTAGGTGGTGGTATATCATACGATGTCGAGATGTGCTGACCGTGTAGATGCGTGGCTATTGCAGGCTACTAGTGTGGCACAGTTGAAAGCTCCTGGAAAACTTGATCTTCAATTTCTCCAAGATTGGCTAGAGGATGAGGAAGGAGGAGCCCATTTTCTACAAGGAGATGAGCAAACAACCTGGAATAAAACCAACCTCCGAGACTTTGTAACTCTGATTGACGAAGAAGCGCGTGGCTTGAATACCCGAAAACCTTATGCCTACCTGATAGACTGGTATCAGCGAATATGGAGGGGATATAGGAGTGTGAAGCACGAAGAGAAAGCTACAAGAACCACTGTGATGAACAAGCTGCAGCACGCACGGACCATTTACGCGAAGAACCCGCTGGTCTTCAACTATGCCGAATCGAAAAGTGGCGAAATTGTCTCACAGCTTGCCGTTACGGTCGTCGTATCTGTGTTTTCAGCGCTCACCATTCCATGGCTGTATCATGTCAACAGGATTGTTGAGCGCATTGGTATCACCATTGGCCTAACCGCCCTCTTGGGAATCATCCTGCGAGTCACCACAAATGCGACTGTGAAAGGGATTTTTGGTGTGACTGTGGCGTATGTGACACATTCACCGAGCCTATTCAATCGCTGACTATATTCAGGCTCGCCACAGTCGAAATGGTTTTCATTTGGAGCACAACCTGAACACCAGCACCTACGGTAATGTTGCGCGGCGGACATGCCCATCTCATCTTCAGCTTCCTGGACCTTTCTTAGTGGTCATAGAACTCCAATCCCTATCGTACTCACCCATAAATTCTCCAGCCTTGCGCCCTTTGCGCAGGCAGCAACAGGGCCCGCGACGATATTCACTGCTTTCTGAATGCTCCTGGCGCAAGACTTCTAAGTGATCAGCCCTTGATGTCGTTGGCCACCGAATGTCAACCAAACATCCTCCCGTTTTTCACATTCGTCACCAGCTCGTCAAGATGCTTGCCCAGGCAAATCTGTCACGGCCACACGGTGGAAGAAACTCGAAGCCGCAATTGAAAACGGTTGTACGTTGATATAGAAGCGAGAGGCCGCGGTAAAAGAAATAAGTCTAGAGTTCTTGAAGAGAGAATACATGTGAGTCGTCCATCTAACCTGTTGGCGAGGTCTTAAGAGTGAGAAGACGTCGAGAAACCCAATCATGGAAAGCTTAAAAGTCCTTCATGCGGCCAGAAACGGAAGCGCCGGCCTGCCTTCCGTGGCAAATAGGCAACCAACCTAGGCAACCATCATGCATGGCCACGACACACAGGCTGGGCGGCATCCGTCCTTCGGCCACTTCGACATTTGCGATCTTCTCAGTTGGCTTTTGCTGAAAGAACCTGTGAGCTTTTGCAAAATTGATTACGGTACTTTGTGAGATCGCCAATCATCCGTATCGCCCGCTGGTGACGAGTCAGGAAAGTAGAGGACTAACGGCACGATACCCATCTACAGTACGAGCATCAAGTGAGTAATTTGCGATGGCGTTTTCCGACAGGGAAGCTTCACGCATGCCTCACTTGACGTGTCACTTCTACCTTTTGCAATGTGTTTAGCTGCATGCATGCATATGTCCTGCGCCTTGGGGATAACCAATAGCCCCGAGCCACCTTTCAAGAAATGAATAACGCAGAGCTATGGCATGCGCTGGGGACAGTGATTGATCTCCCTAACATTTCGGTTGCAACCTTCGTCTGCCTCGCAGTCTTGCTACCTTCGCCGACTGAGGCGCTCTGCGAAGTTGGCGCTTAGTGGTTAAAATTGCAGAAGTCTCCATTTCTGCATATCCCTTGTGCAGCAGACTTGCATGGAAATTGCTACATTATGTACACCGAGAAAAACAGTTGATGGGTACTATCTCGAAGCCTGAGATATCACTGTCAGATCCTTCAAGCTGCGATGCTTCGTGGGATGCTCTGTGGACAAACATTAATGTGGACTTGGACTTGTGGGTTTTTAGACCACAATCGTGAATAGTCACAGCCCCAGTGGTTTACAGTATCCTCGCCTCTCAAGTTCTTGTTCTGAATGAGCGAGACCTGGCCATTACTCTCTAAAAATAGTTCCCGGCCACAGCTCCCACCACTCATCTATTCATGGGTTTGAGCAACATAGCATTGCCAAAATTGAAAACAAGGGCGAAGTCATGAGCTATTTATAACCGTGACCACTTTTCCTTTCTCATACAAAGGCGCTCGACCCCTCGCCCTTCCAAGTTCTCCATTGTCAGTCCACTGGAAGTGATTCACGTCAAGGACCATATCGGACACTGTGAAGGTGAAGCAGCATGCCAAGGAGACATTTGATGAAGATGTTTTCTGAAGTCACCTGTCGCCCTGTGAGCAGTCCTGCACTCGCTCTGTTAAGGTGAATTGCCCAATGCCGACTACTGTGTTCCCGCGGGAGAACGAGGATGCCCCTTCCGTAAGGGGAGTTCCAAGCGTACTCAGTGGCTTCTTTTAGGCACTGATAAGTCGTGGGATGCCGGGAGAAGCACAACAAAAAAAGCTACCTGTCAAAAGATTGCCATTGTGCCTTGGCGCGAACTTTTGGTCAGGCAATCCTTGTGCAATAATGGCCAACAGATAGGCACCCTCTTGGCATTCTCTAGGCTTACTGGCAGCGTCAGGAAGGCTCGAACCCTCGGCGCGTTCCAATTTTTGTGAAGCGGATGGTCGTTATTCTCCTCGCTGGTCAGTCGATAACTTTATTCTGTAATTTCCGCCTGCAGCGATTGACTAGAGCACATCCAATCCCCGTCGAGCCTAGTGTCCTGAGTTTATGGGTATCGGGTGAATGCCCGTGAGTTTCGTTAGGGATTTGCACCCTGTTTCCTTGCCTGGGCCACGCTCCATTAAATCCAGGATTCGCTGGGAAGGACCACGAGCTCAAAATAGCATGAGCACGTTCCATATCGTTTTCCACGTATTGTGCTCTGAAGGAATGTGCTGCTTGTGTTTGAAATGGGAACGTAGTGGTGTTGAACTATGTTGGATCCAAGGCGGCTGTCGAGTAGTTCCACGCTGGGTTTTGTTCACTAAACTCCGCAATGTGATTAGGTAATGATGAAATGGGAGAGTAGATAAATTTCCGACTGTTGCTTGTCTGCGTTGGTAGGCTTCGTGCGATGTGGGCCGGAAGAAGCGGTGCCAATCGTCCAATATAGTTACCACGACTCTCATCTCAGCTGTATGCTGTGGTGCACGCAGCAGCGCCAGAATTGAGCATCCATGGATCCATGTTTGGTCCCCTCTCCTACAGATCAGTTCCAAGGTTGCGTAAACATTTCGCGTTGCTTACTCATCCCTAGCCATCCAAACGCTTCAGAGCCCATTCATCGCAAGGGGTGATGGCGGTAACAGCCCAACACTTCCCATAGTGGAGGCAAATTCCAACGTCGAGGTGCCCGTAGCTGGAGAGGTGCCAACTTGATCTTGGTGGTCAATCCAGGAACGGGTTGGGCGTCGCCCTCTAGATTTTCAAGCCAGTACCAGGCCGTCCCTGCTATTTCACAGGCTGAAGAGGAGGTCAGGCGGAAAATAGGTTCGGTAGACTCCAACTTGCGATTCTCTGCCGAACCGGTCTGCAGAGGCGCGTGCTCATCTCTCACAGGTGCCAGGGACGCGGGATTAGTGGCGATTTGGCGCATCCACCGCTCCCCTATACTCGAGGAGTTGACTCGCGGCCTTGGTCGAACCAAGTCCTGTATGGTGTCTACCGAGAGCCAGTCAAACTCATCATCCATCACAATTTCTTGACCATCTTCCCTCATCCAACGAACGTAGAGCTTTCTTTTTGTTCCACAGACTCTTTCCACGCGTGCTATCCAATCTTCTGGGGACTCGTTCTTCACAAAAACGAACTCTCCTTTCTTGATCAGCAAGCCACGGTCTAGGCAATCAGTACGAGGTTTCGTGCTCGAAGTCTCATCTTCGCTCACAGTTGATAGAATTTCGCGTGTTATTGTATTCATCTGAAGAATGTCCACTATCCGTAGTAGGATGATATTCCGAGAAGATTTCGCTATCTTTGCCGCCAGACGACGGCCCTGAGTCGCCCGAGCCTTTATCATTGTCCGATGGTTTTCCAAGTCGCGGCCTCTTGCCATTGCCACTTCCTACCGACGTAGGCGAGTGCAAGCATTTCTTTCGCTTTTCCGGCATATCAGCCTGAGACGAACGCACATACAGACTTTTTCAGAGCGGTGGTTGTTCTAGCCTTGGAATGGCAATCTTTGTCTTTCGCTGTGCCACAGAGAACGAGGGAGTGGCAACTCGGAGGGAGAAGGCAGGAACGAGCATTGAGGACCAAGAAACGAGGCGGACACTAGCAGAGTGACGAGGATTTAAACCTCTCATCTATGAGTTGGTCAGAGACAGATGGGCATCAACGAACGCGGTGCACAAACCGGACGACCGCAAGACGCGCGGAAGCGCGGAAAGAGGATACATTTTGGACAACAGTATACCAGGTACGTGGTAGGGCTGGAACGAGAAAGTCCTCAGATCCCTATCAAAGCGCTTAAGAGGGCGGTAGGTGGTGATGTGGTGCTTGGAAGGCCTTTCGAAGGAATTCTAGGGGGGGATAGTGACTAACCTCTTGTTCTGCGGCCTTGAGGTTCAGGTGCTGGTCGTGATGCCAATTACGAGGTAGCAGATTATACCATCTGAGCTGTGCGTCAGTTGCCCCCGAAACTGGGCAGAAACGAGGCGCCATCGTGCTCGAGGGTCTTTGGATGTGGGAAAGAGCCCCAAGAACAATGCTGGCCAATAATTCAGAATTAAGCTGCCCACCGGGCCCGCCCTGCCGTGCACAATACCCACTTCTGTCCCCTTCATTCGCGCATTTAGGGGCGTCTGAGCCTCTCCCGCCTCTGGAGGGGGTCACGGTCCTTGGACCGTGGAAGTCTCAGTCCTCAAGCACCCCTCTCTTCCTTCATTAGCGCTTTCCCAATTTCAAGCAGACCATCCAGCCAGAAATAAACCGACTCACCAACCAATCTCTCTCACCTTTCGCATCTCGTCAAAGAATGCCTGCACAAGAACCACCATTACCAAATAATACTGGCCAGTTTTTCCTTTCGGAAACCATCCCTGTCGCCTGTTTATTTTCATGTCCAACTTCCAAGTCCTGTCTGTGGTTTTATCCGCATCCACATGTTCATGGCTGATTCCTGAACCCTAAATCAGACCTTCGTCTGTCCACTGGCATGCCCACCACAGGAAATCGTCATCACACCCCGTCCTCTTATCCCTCAGATTTCATCCCTGGCAGTGCTGGACGCTTCTTCCAAGTACCAGGCTCCTGATTCCGCTCCCACTTGTCGACTCTCCGTGGTGATGCGGCTTTGAATCTGATGCTTGTCCATCTCGATTCGGCCATCCACTGCCCCATCAGCTTCGTGCTGGCACGTCCATCCTCGGGGCCTCTAGTCGTTCGTTCTAAAGTCTCTTCGGACATCCGCTCTTCTTCGCATCTTTCTCTGGGGACTCGCATTTAAAGATCGGATTACCACATCATGATCCGACTTTATCTTCTTTTCAGACTTACGGCAACTTAATTCGTCTGGAGAGCCGCATTGTACCGCCTCGACCCCGCCATTTATCACTAGTTTCCACACGCTATTATCCTTATGGCGCAATACGAGCGCCTTGCACCCCGGTCTTCTTTTACACCAAAAACGACAAAACCCCCAATTTTCTTCATCCGACACCGCGGACAGCCAAGTCGAGCCGCTGTCAACTCACTTTATCATGGCGGGTCTGCCCTCGTGGCTCTGATGGTCCACGGGGTTGCAGACCAAGCTCTTCCCAATCACCAACCAAACTCCCCTTCGTTGCCGATTTTGGAACCCAATTCAATCATCAGTGTCGGAATACCATTCATCTGAACCCTTCTTTTGTTCTCTTTATCAATTTCAGTTCCTATGTCAACGGAGTGTTCATTTTTGAAGGGCTTTTGAGGTCTGACGTCTCCAGGCTGAGGCTGATATGAACATGTCTTAGGACACCAGGTACCAAACATATACCGGCGGATAGCCACGACAATTATTGTGACAACGAATCCAGATAGGACATCTTGGGTTGGCCACACACCGTTCTACGAATTGCCCACCGGGCAACGTAATATCAGCGTACACTGATGCCCGGCGTCCACGATCAAGAAGTGGAGTCCATCGATTTTGAAACAGACATTTTGAGACGAAGTCCTGGACTCTCGGAAGTAAAACCACACTTTGGTCTGGTAGAGGACAGCCCACCACCACTCGTACCCTACGATCCGATTCAAGAGTCTGGTGAGGTAGAGGAAGCGGAGAATGCGAGATCACCCAGGCGGCGTAAGAGGAGGTGGAAAGGCCGGACCCGGCTACCTGAGAGCGACAGAATACTCACTAGCTACCTAGAGAACAACCCACCCGACATCTCCAGTCATACTGGGAGACATCCTCTAGACTCACACGGTGAATCCGAGACGGGAAGAGAGTCAAATGAAATCGACGAACCATCAAATCCTGGACAGGGTCATATGAGGAGTCAGGAAAGGGTGATTCGAGATGCGCCACCGGTCGTGTGCGTGCAGTCAGTGGATTTCGTTGAAGGTGCGCCTATGGCTACCAGAAGAGATGATTTCTCTATGGTTGAATTGCCAGTGACTGTGTCTGGCAAAGCCCGACCACAGCAGAAATCATCATCCCACCCTGGACCAGAGGACAATCGAAGGAAAGAGCTCAATCTCAAACCTCCACCACTCTCGCTGGACTTACTCCGATCCCCTCGCAATTTAGGTTGTGGAGAGGAGGATTCGATTATCGAATCTCACACGTTAGGAAGATTCACGATCAAGCCTCACAATGCAGATCCAGGTGCTATCACATTACCTGCGTTATACAGATCTCCTCCACATTCCTCGTCGGCAGGGTTACCCGAGAATAGACAAACTCTGCCGTCGATAAGGCAGCTCACTATCCCATGTTTCAATGATACAGCCTCCATGAGCCTGGCAGGATTGTCCCCGAGGTGCCCACCTCACATGACTGAAACTCCGATTTCATATCTTCATTCTCCACACCAGGAACTCGGTATGTCACCCCCTGAATATCCTTCAACATATACCAGCAGTTGGCGTTCCGTGACTCGAGCTAGTTCTGCTTGTTCCGAGTACGCTACTATCCCCTCCGTCACAACTTCTACACCAGGCTCTTCTATCCACCTTACACAATCACCCCCTGCATCTCATCCAGGTTCTCTGTCTATTCTGCCAGAAAAGGGGGTTGTAAATCTCCCTTACCAGGAAGAAAAACCTCTCCATCAAAAGTCTGCCATGATTTCATCGGACTCACCAGATAACCCATTGATTCCCGGTCCATTCAGGTGTAACTTTCCAGGCTGTGTTGCGATCCCATTCCAGACCCAGTATCTGTTGAGCAGTCACATGAACGTCCACTCTAGTCAACGTCCTCATTTCTGTCCTGTTGAAGGATGTGCCAGAGGTGTAGGGGGTCAAGGTTTTAAACGGAAAAACGAAATGATCAGGTGTGTCCGACCTTAGGCTCCAACCTGATAGTCCTACTAATGCCTTTCTTCGCAGACACGGCCTTGTCCATACGTCTCCTGTGTATATCTGCCCCTTTTGTGCTGATCAACATCACAAATATCCCCGGCCGGATAATCTACAGCGTCATATCCGTACGCATCATGAAGATGCTGATCGAGATGATCCTCTACTTCGTGACGTCCTTAATCAAAGACCTGAGGGTGGAAATAGGGTTAGAAGACGACGGATGATTCCTTGAACCTGGAACTGTCCTGTTTGATCCTCCTATTTCGATTTTGCCCATCCTGTCAATACCCTTCCTTTGCGGGCGACATATTCTGGGGATTTTTCTTTTGAACTATACCACTACCTGACAAAATCCAAAGCGCAGGCCGCGCACTCACTGCATGGTACTTCATTTCATGTGTAGCACATCTGCTTTCCAAGTTCGGAAGACGTTTCATTCGAATTTTCATTTTAATTCTGTCTGTCTGTGTTCTCGATGGTCCGATTTGGCACGTTGCTACCCCGTTCGGGATTTCACATCCGGGGCATCATAATCTAGAGTTTTTCTCGTCTTCCCCTAGGGAAACATGGAACAGTACTAATTGGTGCCCTCTCTGAAACGTCGTTGCCATTCTCTGCAGAGACCGTGTGGTTGGTGGGGTGGTTAAAAGTGGGAGGGCAAGGAATCGTCAACAAAGTTCGTGCCCTTGGTGGGATGGCAGAAGGTTCTCAAGGTTTAGGTCTCAGTCAGTGATGATGTCGCCGAAAGAAAGGCATGGACACACACTTGCTACGTTCGATATTTATATTATGGAAGTCCGGAGCACTACCGTATATTGTCCATTTGGTGGAGGGACCGGATTGCGCCCAAATTCGCCTCAACAGTACACCTTGATATTGTAGTCAAACAAATACTGTAACTGAAATGAATGGCCACTGAGGCTAGGGAGGATCCTGTACATAAAATAGGCGTAGGAGTCTTCTGCTCCCATGAGTTTGGACTTACGTCTACCAGTCCATGGCGCTTGACGCAACGATTGGCTCAGGAAGGAGTGTTCTGCTGATTCGGCAGCAACGCTGAAATTTGGACAGCCACGTGAAGATCCAACAAGCAGCTTGAAATTTTGCCACGTGGCAAACCAGATTCCCGTCAAAGAGAGCAGTTGTTGTCCACAGGAATTAGAGAAGATCATCTATGGCACTCTTGGTGCGACTACGGGAGATGCCTATTTGTGTCCTACCACGAGACATCCACGGAAGTGAACCTAGGCGAACAAACATGCAGAGACTGGAGAAGGATCTCGCAAGGCGGAAGGACTACTTTTGGGGAATGCGAGGGGGATTGCGAGGAAGGATGAAGTCCTCACTGGCGTTGCAAGAAATAGAGCGAGTGGGCACGGGGTGGGAGCACGTCTGCGGAATTTGGGAGATACTTGATCCACGTAAGAACCAGTCTTTGTCCCCTTGAATTGTCTCAACATTGGCTTCATCTGCTTTGAAAGGCTCACCCGTTGACTTCTTGACTTTCTTACCAGGTCTTTCGACCAGGCCTGTCCTGGCCGCCTTTGACTCTTTCCGGCGTCGCCTCTTTGGCAACAAAGCGGCGGTTCAGCCAACCCGAGGTAACCCTTCACCTCTCACGTATTGGAACTTCCTGCCGTCCATAATCCCGTTCAGTTCGCCTTTCTTCCACGCCCCTCATCGGAAGATATACTGGTCGCTGGAGAATCTCGCTTTTCATCCTAAACACCAAAGGAAAGGTTACGGGAGCAAACTTGTTAAGGAGGTGTTAGAGATGGTGAAGAACGATCCCATGCGCGATTTACCCGTCTGCGTTGTGGTTGCAGATGGCAAGGAAGAGTTCTACAACAAGGCTGGAATCCGGTACCTCGTTGGTTGGTTAAGCAGGACAGTGGATGCGACTGGCGGTGACAACCCTTTGAGGGCGAACGGGCTGGGTGGAGGCGCTGTGCTGTGGACAAAATGAAGGTTCTGACACGCAGAATTCGCCGACCCGGCGGCAGCCTCTTTTACGAGATAGAGGAGAAAGAGCAATCTGGTCATCGCCTGAGTGGCAGTCGGCTTGTTGGTATATTCACGTTTGTTTGATTTCCCAGCGAGATCTGCAGGGCCAGCGCTATATCTCGTAATTGGTCGGCATGAGGCTCTTGTTTCATTCATGATGACTCCTAGGTGAAGACGACGTGAGCTCAAAAGTTACCGGTAATATTATGTGGAATCTGTTGACAAAAGTGTCCAGAAATATCACCGTGTAGCCAAGTTGACCCCTCCGGATACGGAACTTCAGTCATCACTTGTCCAATACTGGACTCAGTGGTCGCTGGGAATGTAAAGGATCCCACGGTTTGTGAATACATGGCAGGCTGTCCATGGAATGCCACTTGAGGTTGCGTCGAAAACGGGGACAGTAATGCTTGATGGTGGAACTGTGGTCGATCAATCGCAAATAGTAACCCATCATCGATATGATCCTCTTTGACCATCGATTCTTCATCTTCGCCGATACTGGGCGGCGGAGTGGATCCCAGTGGCCTATCATTAATTACGATTTTATTTATCGCTTTGTCACCATGGCGTCCGCTCACATGTTGGTTTGACGTTGAACCAGGTTTGTCATCGATCGTGTCGGGCACCCCGCTGCTAGGGGTGTGATCACTAGTACCTAGGATATCCAATTGTGGATCAGGTGATGCAGGAGGCGAGTCGAAGATGTCACTCAACTTCTTGCCGAGCTCAAGATCTGGATATTGAGCATGGAGACGAGTGACCAAAGCCTTGGCACGGCGATGGCGGTCTTCCAGTATTTTCGTTCGTGAAGGCCCGGGTACTTTTTGCTTGCGTGTAGACATGAATTTACATCCTGTCGGAGCGGAATGATGAGAACGTGAATAGTTGATTGTGGTTGTAGACTTACTCCTCTCAAACTCTTGGCAGGGTGTACAAGGCTGAAGACCATCACATCTGGTCTTGCGAACACGGCATTCACTACATGCCCTACTGACACGAGATAATCGAACCCGTTTTGACGTGGTAGGAGAGCTGGGGGGGCCACTATCTTCACAATCGGCCATGACAAACACAATGTTTCGGCAAATCAGCAAATGTTGAGCTGAGGGGAGAGCATCCGTCGTGAAGGAATCAATCCGGCAGGCGGGATGGAAAGAAACAACTCCAGATAGGTATGAGGGAAGAAAGACGTATTTGGGTACAATGCCTGATTCATGGGCACACAAGCTTCGAGTGTCACGTGACCAGTATGGTCTCCGTCTCTTTCGTTCATGGAAGGTGGTTGTGTGGCAAGTCAAGCTTATCTATCCTGCAAACGCGGAGCGGCTTGCTAGAATCCGTCAATGCCGCAGATGGCGACGATCCCTGCCGATTATGGCTTTAGCACCTATGCGGCGGGATTGAATCTGGCCGCAATGGTGCTAGCCTTAGCGTGGTGTTTGCGCCACCGTCAGGTTTCGGATGCCTCCGTAGCTGAAACCAGGCAGGTGCTCCTGACAGCCTGAATCATCGACGACTTGATCACCTGGGGTTCACCTAGACTTATTACCATTGGCGGCTGAGCGTAACGAAAGCATGAGCCGCTTGCAAGATGTGCTGCTCAGGAGTCTCGGATTGCCTCGAGAGGGATACGGCCATTCGCGTAATCGGATCCCACTTCAGAACACTCGGCTTTGAATTGTCCAGGCACAAGCCCATGAAATCGGCGATCATGACATCGCTAACTTTAAACTTCGGTTAATGCGGTGAGTAACCTGTCAATTGCAACCGACATATTGAAGTCATGCAAGATGGTTGAAGCGGACGCCGATCACAAGGCGGAGTGTGACTCCAGCAAGGCAGCTCGCTACCCCAATCTCCATCCTGATTTGCCCTCTGCCCCACTCTAAGGTTTACACCGCATTTAGTTGCTTCTGCCCCATGCACATGTACTTTCGCCTTCCCAGAGGAACACCTGAGCGGAGAATGTAGCCTGTGTAACATGTCCTCATCGATCGGGTGATCACTCGACATTTCGTCGTATTTATGAACAGGGCTCTCCACCAGCCGGGACTGCTAGTTCAGCGGGGGAAGACGGATGCTCGCGCCGTCGGATCTGCGAGTAGTTTAAGTTAATTCGGCCATGGCTCGATCACCGGCAGGGACTACTACTGCTACCATTACAATTCCGGCTGAGCTTTGTAAACCACCTACTTCAGGCGAGGAATAAACGACGTTGGGATATTGCATTCAGCCGTGTCTGTGTCACGATTTTGTTTTGGATAAAATTGTACCAATATTTGTGCGATGTGCTTCACCTTGAACACTCGAAGCGATGACCCCCAACTTACGCGAAATGTGATGTCGTAACAGTGTTGCTGTGCCGAACACTGTGCACGCTGAATGTGGAGAAGGTATAGCTTGCTCTTTGTGAGAAACATGGGGTCATGCATTCAGTGATTATTTTACGGGTATCATCGGTCTCTGGTGTCCAACATAAATCAGACTACATATGACTGCTCCATTTACTGTGACCTTGTGGTGTGAATTTTTGTCTTATCTCCAGAACTCCTTTGGGTGTGCGCCAGAGATTCAACAAATGAAGGAGATCCTGGTCCCGTCTCACTTTCTCTCACATGGGATGTGGACCACAGGGCAACGACAGCCATGGAGGGTGTGAGAATTGGTCGGATTTTGTCCGTCCCAAAGTCTATACATTAATACCCAAGATGAAATTTATGTTCGCGCACCTTTAGCAAGGTCGGTTTCTTGCTGAGGGTCGAGGCGACGTTGGATTCGAGGGTCTGATGATCTCGGTACTTTCATTTGCCTTGTTCCAAATCAGCCCTGGTGGGCTTGAAAAGCTCTCCGAGCAAACTGCCCATTTCTCCGGCGAAACGGATGCAGTTTGGTATTTCGACGAGCTCGTGCCACGGGATCTCGACCAATCTGATCGACCCTGCCTGGGATATCTCGCAAGACCAGCTAATCCCTGGTTGAGGCCGCCACTTGCACAGATAGCCTTGTACACCTTTGTTGATGGTCACGAGCTCTCCAATGCACGCGACCGGAAACAGCACGTAGTATGCCTCCATCATATTCTGAGTTCGATAACTTATTGCCCACAGCAACAAGACCGCCTTCATATCCCGCCACACACCATAAAGGGTTTCCTTGCTGTCCAGTTGTGTTCCATTAAGCAAGTGATATATCAAAAGCACCATTTTGTCCAGGCGAAGCCGCTTCTGATTTTGCTCGAGCTCTCTGCGCCAGACCGGGTCACATTTTGCTTTCCACTGAGTCATCCAACTGTCATCTGTGATTTGAACGAGCAGTTGATGGCCATCCCAGTCGAGCATGAGCGGCAGCTTGGGTGGCTTGCTTGCCATGGAAGGGTCTCCGCGATGACCCCAGTCAGCTGGGAACATGGCGGGCAGCTGTTGAGTAAGAGCATCAAGTGTCCACTTGCTCAGATCTAAGAATTTGTGTGGTGGCTGTGACATTCTAAACACTGGATCAAGTTGTCCTCAGGCCTGTCAAAAGTAGGAAGATGTTCTGGAGTGGCTTTGAGGCAAGGCGACTGATTGTGAGAATGTTAACCGGGTTGGACGACCCCTTTATATGTCCCTAGCGGGCGGAGCAATTCTCTTCTCTTCTGTTGTAACAGCAGTTCAGACCATAGACGTCTGAATGGGGTCGATCAAGGCAAATAGGATCTTCCCAATATTGCTGCATCCTGGGTTTCCGACGCATCCCCAAGCGTGAAGGAAGTGGAAGCAGCGCCGCTCCACAAAGACCGGACACGTCGTTAGCCGGTTGATGCTGCATGAGTCCTTTCATCCTCAGTGACTTTCCCTAGCTCCTGAGGTGGTCTGTGTTATACGTAACTACAAAGGATAAGTTTCTGTGGCGAGAAATCCTAATTACTGAACTTCGACTTCATCTAACATGGGCCTTCAATGTATAGTTAATACTTCGTGAATCGTTTCAGTGGACGGTTCAAGAACTTTGAAGACTCCTATCAAGACATCTTTGAACATCGCCGAGCTCAGACCACCTTCATGGATCTTCTGAGTATACCTAATGTCGACCTTCTTAGGGGAAACGTCCTACCGACTGATCTTGTTGGTGAACTCGGCGCCGTGCTCGGCCAAGTACACCAGGAACGGCACTTGACAGTAAATATTCTCCTCAGATCCGTCGGCTGCTGTCTGTAAAATGATACCCATGGCCAATCCATCGGTTGTCACAACTTCCACAATTAGTCCCACGTCCCAACGGGGTCATAGGACAGAGCGATTTCATTGTCCCGTGTGTCATCCTCAACCAAACCCGATTCGAAAATTCGATAATAGTCCAGCGGATAAGGGAGTCCACAGATTTCCAGAATGGAACTGTCTTCATAATACAAAGATCCAAAACGTCTGAAATTGCACGACCTTGACGACCCCTCGCAAAGCAATTTACATTGGCACTTCTTGTACCTTCACATGCTGGTCTGTACCAAGTTTGCCCAGAGATTCATCTTCTCTTTCAATTTCTTGATGTCTTCCAGCGATTTCTTGTAATCTTCATTCACGCCCTTGGCAATTGCCTCTGACTTCTTATGGTCATCGTTCAATTTCTGGATCTTTTCCTCTGATGTCTTGTAATCGGTGTTCAATTTTTTGTTCTTCCCTTTCAACTTCTTGCATTCTTCACTCACTTTCTTGAAGCTCTCCTGCAATTCCTTGTTCTTCTCCTTCAATTCCGCCAATTTTTTCGTTTGTCTACGCAGATATCGGAGTTCGGACATGAACTTTGTGGTGGTCGATAGATACTCGCGCGTGTCAGGATCGTCATTGCCACCCTCCGGTTCTGTGGTTTCCCGTTTCCGTTTCTTGGTACCAGGGGTCAATGACTCGTTGACCGGCACACTCCTCTGGCGCGGCAATCGACCCTCCAAGGCTGCCGGTTGGGACGTGTCGGCATCATGATGCATTCCCAAGTTCTCGAGCGCGGCTTGTTCGGTGACCACGGTGTGGGATTGGGTCCTCTTGCATGGGCTTGAGGTTGTAGCCGATCCTACAACATGGGGAGACCTCGGTTCGGGACGTATCCGCGATTCCCCTGCATCGCCACAGTCACCTAGGTGTTGCGATTCAGATATTCTCGCAGTATCGGCGTCAACGTCGATCGTCTCTGAGTTTGCTGCCCGTGGACTGGAATTGGTCGATGTCGCGTTCAGGTCATTGATGTATGTACGGAAAGCCTCGTCCGTCTCCTCTTCTTCGGACCGAAACAAACTGGACGATCTGGTGGACGGCAAATGCTCGGCCCCAAAATCCGACACGGCTGGTGGCGGGCTGCCTTGTTGCGCAGCATGGTGATCATCGGACTCATACTGGCATGGGAGTGTTTTCTGAAGACAGCCCGAGCATATCGGTCTTTTACGATCACATTTCCTTCGCCTCGCTCGACATTCTCCGCAGGGAATCGTTTGCTGCTTCATTGGTGGAATGTTCTCAACGATGCAATAGTGAAGGAGAGGACAAGATGTCACTCATATGCGAGTGATTTATCGGTGATCAGAAGGAAAACACTTTCATGCTCATATGGTGAACTCTTATACCGATCCGTTGAGGGGATGGTCACAAAGTCCCGGCCCTGGCCGGCGTGCTGATCTCCTGGTCTATCCCCCTGGCGCCACGGCGACACGGACCCGTTCTCGGGAGCCGCAATTTGTCTGCCTGACAAGGATGGGATGTTGAGGCGTCATAAGTGATTGGTAGTAGGCAGCTGATATCAAACCGTGACAGCCCTAGCGCCCATCACCAGATCATGACATCCACTACACACCTGAGTGGGCGATCAAATGTTGCAGAAGTGTCGTTCGTGCGTGAGTTCATGATGATAATGTCGCGGGACGTACGCGTGGGTCGAACAGTGCCACCAGAGGGCCAACAGGTCTCAAGGGGTCGGTCCTCGGAAAGTAGTGAACCGTCCACCTGCCTGCTCCGACGTCGCCATGATTCATCCTGCCTCCTGTATTCAGAGCGAAGGAAACCCCCATGACCCCGCCACATTTTTTCCAAGTCTCCACTAGATATGAGAGTCTCTTAGATTTCATCAGGCTACAAAGTCTTTTCATATTCGTCTTGAGGCACCTTCGATTGTGATATCAGTTGAATACAATGAGTCATCTGAGCCGGATCTTCAACCATAGCTTGAGTCGGGAGATGAGGCCCGTAAAAATTGATCGGTGCCAAATCGACTCGCCCTACAGTTTTTCACTACGCCCCACACCCGTGACGCGATAAATAATCATCTAGAAAGCCAATTGCTGGAAAACACATGCTCGTTTGTGTCCACCCCGCGGGAAGATTGAACCTCACAGCTCCTGGTGGTGAACCTCTTTCCAGGACATCAATGGCCCATACTTCTCAAAGGGGCGACAAGACCATCCACGGCGGCCGTGTACCACTTATGATGTTCAAATAGACCCAGAAGCCGACTTTCCAGGTAACTCTCCATCCGGGGAAGGGGAGTAGCAAATTCTTCACATAGATTCAAAAGGACTTTGGCCCTTGGATCGAGAGAATCCGTGGTCATCACACGAGCCCGGTACCACACTGATGCGAACAATGCCAATCGCCACTTTCTCATTCCTGAAAGATCTCCTCCCTCTAGCGCCCTCATGCAGAGGTCCAAACTAGGATTAGTCAGCGGTGAGTATACGGCGGCGAACAATCTTACTCTGTGCCAGTCTCGGGGTCCTTTAGCCAATGTTTCACAATCGGACCGTCTAAAGTGTCATACTTTCTATGGCATGCAAGAGCGAAGTCGTAACCAACCGAACTAATCCAGTCTATGGTCTGTAGACTGGACTGAGAACGGTTCAAGACCTTCATAGTCGTGTCGAATAAGCTTGTATCTTGGTTGTCGTCTCTTGCTTGAGTTCGAACTAACTCGCCACATTTCCTCTTTTCTCCAGTCAGCGTGCGACGATGGAACCTTCTTGAAGTGACTCACCAATAATTGAGGGGTCTTTAGTATTATGGCCTCGACCTCAGCACTCAAGGCTCGATCCTCCTCTTCGGCAGCCTCTACCTCAGTCCAACTCGCCTCGGGGTTGTTAAGGAGGACAGTCGCTTCGGTGCGAGCACGTGGGGTTAATGCTTCTAGTGATCTGAGTATCCCCTCGAACCACAACTCTCGATCATGATCCTCCACGAAATCGAAAACGAGCTCGACAACAGGGCGGAAATAACGTGGGACCAGTGTCGAATTAAATTGAGTATATAGCCCGAAAAGAATCTTTTGTTCTTCCCGATCAAATTGGTCAACGAGATGCTCAAGTGTCACGTCGGAGACTGAAGAATTCTTGATGATAGTATTGTCTGGCAACAAAGCCACTTCCGGAAAGTAAACAGTATTTAAAAGGGTCGTGAGGAGATTCTTGACCATTGATCTTGGGACCCCGGTGTCAGATATCGATATGTGTCTCGGCTAGGAAGATTAAGATCCATGGGTAACTACACTTGCGAACGTGTACTGACCATTCTGATAAAATAACACCAAACAACCTGAAAGATCAAGATGACTGGAAAGAGTCTGAGAAGAAGAAGAATGGTGGGACGTGTAGAACTAGACGACCAAAGGGTTCATGGCCATATATACTTAGGTGCATAACTTCCCATTGAAATCCGCTTACGGTCTAACTAATCTCAATTTTAGTTAGTCCATTAAGCATCAAGGTGGGCATGGCCGCCTCCGCTTCCACCGTCTGATACGGTCCAAGAACTCAACACTCCAGCGCTCTCTTCGCCACCAGAAGCGATTTCTCAGTCTCGTCCACTCTGTTTGACTTTGATCTGAAGAATTCAACCAATGCACAATGACTAGGAAAGCAACTGTGGGGGCTGATGTTCCTATTTAGGTAGCTATCAGATAATTTTCTTCTTCGTCTGCTGGTTTGAAGAGGTTCAGCCCTCGGCTGTCCCAGAGCAGGCCGAGAGTTTGACAAACCGCTAGTTTGTCAAAAATGATGAGCTTCCGGTCCGCGGTCCATACAGAGAGTGGCAAAAGTACTACCTCTTCGCCGACGCGTAGTCGAATGTGACCATCCACGACGATCCAGAATGTCAGTTGTCCTTCTCGTAATGTCCGTTTACCATCCTCGTCGAGCCAAACTTTGATAGGCCCTCGATAAAACGAGGGGAAAATCTCATGAAATATGTGTCGATAGGGTGGTGTATTGAGTTGCATAATCCACAAGTATAACGCAACACTTAATTCGCGGACGTCTTCACTCATCATAGGGTTTCCCATCGTCTTGGGGGAAAGTTGCAGGATGAACAATAGCTTGTCGGCCCTCCCTCCCGACTCCAGGACGTGACGAAGTTCTTTGTCCAGTTGGTGTCCCAATTCTTGCAGTACTTCAAGTCTGATGAGTATATTGGGTATGCTGGCCCGAAGATACCCAAGGCTCATGTCGGTCTGTATGAAATTGGGCATACTTCTTTATAGGTAGTCAATCTGTGTATGAATGACAAACTATGTTGGGAGGCAATCAGCTCTTTATCGTGGATGTTCCATGGTTGATCCAGCATTTCCTTCATAACATCCTGATCTTGGGGTGGGGTGATGTTGAGAAGGTCTGCTCCCATCTTTGGGTCCACCGGCCTTGCCATGCACAATGTAATGAAGCGACCGGTGAGACTCGCCATCGGTGATAGCTTCTACTATCGTGATCTTCCGAAGTTAGACTGAGGTATGGTTTAATCTGGATTCCTTGGGGAAGCACCTCGCAATATTTATACGTTCTCCTCGGGGAGGGTCACTCAAAACAGACGAAAGTGGTATATCCTCCAACCACCCGTAAGGTACCTTGTATCTCCGAACTTTATGTGGAGCATCGCGTACGATTTCTCGTGACCGACTCTCTGCCCGTCTTACTAGATATACCTAATCATGGGTGTCACCGTCTTCAGCATGTTGCATCGTTGGGCTCCGCAATCACATCGTTTTCGCTCTTATGCAGGGAGTTGGGATATGGTGGTGATAACTGTTCTATTCCCCCGTGGAGATTTTCCTGACTGGACGAACTATTGCCACTCGAACCGGCCTCCTGTTTAACTTGTCCAGGCCACCAATATCGGATTGCCTTTGGCATAGCCGCAAGGGTAAGTAAGAGGTTGGAGATGAGCATTTGAATCTCGCACTGGTCAGAAGATTTCGGTTGAGAATTGATGCAGGGGCTTACCGTGTAACTTTTCAGTTCGAGGTAACTGAACGGTTCATTCTGCTCGTGCAGTACATACGCCCCTAGGACCCAGACAATAGTAATGATGGTAGCCGAAAGAATCAAGTCGTAGACCAGTGCAATTCCCAGAGGCGTTTCATCTTTCCTCCAATTCCACCATCCCCACCATCTTCGCGTCCGACGAGCGGGATCGAATTCGGGATCGAATTCCATGAGTAAACGGATAGCGCAGACCATTCGAACGAGGCATGCGAGCGTCACGTCTGCAGAAAACAACCGCAGCCCAAGTTTGTGACCACTAAAGATATTCCATTAATTACGTGCCCGAGGCATTGACGGACAACGTACACGAGGGTGAAGGTAACACACAACCCCAGCGTAGACGCCACCCAGATTAATAATGACAGTAATCCAAGCAATAGCCGAGTCGTGGTGTACAGGTAGCGCCTCCAAATGACGCCAGTGAAGCTGAATACCTAACATAAATTAGAACGCGATCTGCACGAGGTTGGATGAACATACCCCTAGTGACGCTGCCCACAAGTATGCAACACGGACGAGCTGAATGGTGGCCGTCAGAGCCCATTGACGTATAACCGCCACAAGGACCGTGAATGCTAGAGCCGTGAGGCTTAAATCTCCAGCAGCACGACTAATCTTCTCAGAGGATTGTTTGACCCAACGGCCAAATGGTATCGGCTCCGTCGAGTTAGTCTTGTTCTTCCAGGCGGATCGAACGGTACCGATGGATGCTAGCAAGGGGATGGAGGTTAGCATCAAGGTAATAATATTGAGAATCATGCAGATGAGCATTGGTGCTTCCATGATGGACAACACACGACAGTCGGGCGCTGAGTGACAAGGCAACCAGTGGGCTTCTGCATGGTTATATGTGCAGTGAGGTGCAGAATCAAGAATCACGTCGAGGCGGAGTGCAGGTCCATTTCTGTCTCCCACCATACTTAGACCATAGCATGTCTTTCACTGCGACAAGGCCGCCACCGACCAATGATATTTATTTCGTCACCGTGGCGGAATAAATATCATTGGTCGGTGTGGTGTGATAGCCGGGGTGGCTACGGAGCCATGCTCTCATGATTGGGTGAACGCGGATCCCATCTTCACGCTAATATGTTGTAATCCATCTGCAGTCTCTCTCACTCCGGTCCGAATCGTTCTTCCTTTTCATTCCACCGCTGTTCCCACACCCTCTCCCTACCATCATGGTCAGGATCCAAGCCTGTGACGCTCTGGCCCGAGTTCAATGCCTCACTCCCCTCGAGGTGCGTTCGAATGTGCAGCTCGCTATCCACACCTTCCAGGCTTTGGCAAATATACTGGCATCGGTCTTCGACCATGTCCCTGCCACGGGCAATCCGGCGCTGGATGTTCTACTACAACCGACTGGACAAGTTCCAGCACCGCCAAAGTATAGGAGTATCGCTCCTGCTACCAATGAACCATTGGAAGCTTTATTTTCGTCTTCTGCGCAGGTTGCTGTCGTCGACGTGGTCAACATACCCTCCCTCACGACATCGATTCAAGCCTCTCCAGTACGACGAGGCTCCCAGGGCCATCCCCAAACTGTGGAGATCGAACCCAAGAAGAAGCCCAACACGGCGCGACACGAGAGCGCGTATCGCAATGCTCGTGAGAACACTCAGAGGTGGCTGCGCGAGAAAAGGCGAGTTAGGATCAAGGAGACGCTCACTCGACGTATCACTGAATATCCGCCTGCTCGAGCCGCGGCGGATCTAATTGACAATAAGAAAGCTAGATTCGCTCGTCTTGAGGGCATGTTTGGAGCAATGCTCATCGCCGAAGAGTACGACGACTTCAGGCGGAAGCAACACGAAATCCAACGCAGTTGTCTGATCGACGGACGAGGCGCGCTTCCAGCTGTGTTTGACCAATATGCAGAGCACAGAGGCATATCTGACATCAAAAGCCTACCCGATATCAACAAATTCGGGGAAACTTTGCTCGAAATCTGGAAAACCTTCCCAACTCAGCTTGGTATTCTCGTTCTAGTGAGCCGGATTTCGACTCTTCGAAAACTGAGTGCCAGGGACGCAAAGCGGTTGAAGGCACTTGTTGACGGTGATGAAGCTGTTGGGCGTGTATCGTCACGGCTGAGTGCCTCCGTTCTGGGAGCGAGGGAAGGCTATCAAAAGGTCGCGGAACGATTGTGGTCCAGAGAAAAAATAAATACTACAATGAGTGACATCAAGAAGTGTATGAATCAAGACGAACTTCAGCCGAACGACGCACAGCACGGAGGATGTCAAGCCGAGCCTGAAGGATGTGAGACAGAAATCAGTGAAGTGAGTATACAGCCTGCTGAGCGTCGTCGTCAGGATGGGAACAATAGAACCTCAAATGAAAGTTCATTTACCCCAACAAATGACTCGCCCGACGCACAAACTACGGCGTCTCGCCTGACGATTCATCCCGATAGCGAGAGTTCAAGTGCCAACATGAGAAACACTTCACTAGTGGTCACACCTCAAGCTAGTGTGGGTATCATGCCATTTGTCGACGGACGATGCATGTATGGGACTGGTGATGAATTTGTGCAGAACGAGGCCTATATTGCTCCAACACCCGGCCTTGCGTCCACTATCATTAACTCACTTCACACAAACGCAAGGAAAGACGTAAATATTGCAACAACCAGTCCTGATTTAGATCATTGGGCCTGGTCTGCGGATTTCGGTTCCTTCGATAATATCCTCCTGGATGCAGGAGGTATGGATTTCACAATGCTCGACTCGATCGATGGAGGTATGGAATTTCTGAACCGATAAGGGAAACTACATGCTCGATGGATGAGAATTAGGAACCGTGCTATCATTGATGATCATGGCCAGCTGGTGTCTTGCTAGCCATACCAGCCCTTTGTCTCTGCCATCGACAAGTGTTGATATAGCAATAACTGGTGTTACTCCTAGACATTCTTTTCGATCTGATGCTCAACTCGCTCGCCGTGGCATCGCATCGTGAGCAATGGAATTCCACCGGCTAGTATCTCGATGAATTCTCGTTCTTTAAGCACGAGAATGTCGCCTACACTGAGGGTCCGTGGCTGGATAGACGATCGATGCTGCTCAGTCATCCTCCAGGTCACCACACGCCGTGGTTGGCCGAGGGCTTGGAGAAGTGTATGTTGCCTGTCGCGCAGTTTCTGTGGTAGCCTAGATTCTAGAGGTGCATTATCTTCTGATGGTTTGTTGTTGCTCAGTGGTTGTTCGTGTGTCCTACAAGGCTCTGAGGCACCAACATTTGCTTCTTCACCAGTCGCTTGAGGTGACGGGGTTTCGGCAGCAATATCGCCATCATTGAGATTTGGACCCGTACTATCAACCTCTTTTGGTGTCTCGGAAACTGGATCCTTCAAGGGTGGAGGTTCCAAAACGATTGATACTCCAACTTGATTCTTTCCAGGCCACATCATCCCCCTCTTTTCGATACAAATGATATGCGCCGGACTCCCGCGGCTTAAGCCTGATAGTCCGTCACTTTCAGCCGCCCGAGAGATTCCCGGAAACTTTGATGCCAAATTAGCTAGTTTTCTTGAAATATGTTTGTAAGCGTACCAACTCCGCATAGTAGTGATCAAGTAGTGCTGTCTCTTCCGGGCTGGGTGAAGACGATGTCATCCATATCTGTCGTTCTGGTACAGGGCGCATGTCTTCGATGGGGATAGGAACTTTGACGGCGAGCTCCCGAATTTCATGTGAGGCTTCGATGATGTACATATTGAGAACAGGACAGACAAAAATAAGCGTGGATTAACCTCGAAGCAAAGTTGAGGGAATAAACATCACTTTATATAATGAGCAGATTTGCACGCGTGTCATATATTAGAACGACGTACCAGATCTACTTTGTTGATTCGGTACTCTCTTGTCCACTACCAGAGTTTTCCGTCGATGATAAAGCTTGAGGCATGGGAGACTGGTACTCGCGGGGTAAATGGTGCGATATAATTGTCACGTGAGTGTGGTCAATCCGCCAAGACGATACATGAAAAATATTTGCTGCTTTATAGGCGTAGTGCCAGCCTTGCCGACTATCCCATGTCACCCTTACAACGAGTATACGGAATCCTGGATCAAGACACCCAACTGAATTCATATCATGTAAATCACAAAGCCTAGGATCTCCTATGTTCAACATCTTGTTGTCGAAGGATCCACAATTTCCTTGTGAAGATGGTGTATCCTCTTTCTCGGACAAAGCCTTGTACTACTAGCTTTGGTCAACAATGGTTTCATAGAGGACAATAGATGATTACTTCACTTGCGATCTCCTCGATGCTCCCCCAGGAAATCCATACCACCCCCTGTTATTTGGTGATTTCCCTCGGACTCTCTGTTGCGCTCCCTGGCAGATTGTTCCGTGTGTGACTGGTCGCCATTCACTTTCGGGCGAACATTTGTTGCTTGTCCAGGTTGCCTAGGAGGACTTTTAGGAGGATTAGTCTGATTACTTGACATTTCAACCAAGGTTTCAAAGAATAGTGAGACAGGAAAGGCTGAGTAGAAGAGGGGTGAACGGAATCTAGAGGTACGTTCAGGATGGGGGAAGTGGACGATCTTATACTTGTCGACGGAGCTAATTGTGAGTCCTCTTTTGTTGTCTCCTCTCCTTCTCCATTGTGCGCTTCTGGTGTCCTTCTTGACCAATACGATCCCATGTCGATGACCTTAACCCTAGCTTCACATTGATTCGTAGCGTTTGTTTGAACAACGCCAAAGACGAATAGATCACCATGGGTCTACATCAATCCACGATATCACAGGTACTGGCTCAGGTCGACCAACGCGGCATGATCTTTGCGAGAGCTTGACCTGGAACGACCGCATTGGAGAAACTCATCCCCTGGCAGTGAGGCTTGCGTCCGTTCGCTCTTTGATGCAAGTTTATCAGAACGGGTACGATGGCGGAGCATAATGGTGGCTAACGGAACGCGATGAACATAGGCTAAGACTTATGCATCAATATTTATTTTCCAGCTGAAACCATGTATTGTATCCTTGTTCGACTAAAAGGATACCTTTCCGGCAGCCACCTGGCCAGGCTAGTAGAGACCGACGTGCAATCTACACGTTTACTATTGGAGAGGTACTACATGTACAGTCCCTAGTTCGAAGCTCCACGAAGTTACCTTGCGAATCCGTTGTTCAGTACGCCTGCGTCTTCAAGGATTCTGGATTGCGAGTACGGACGGTCTTGTACTGGTCGATGTGGCTGACTGTATGACGATCTCCGTCCCTCCTTTGCCATTGTTTGCTTCTTGTTGCTCTTCTCAACCAATACGGGAGCCTGTCGATGACTGTGATGCTGGCTTCACATTTTGTCCTAGCATTGTATGTACATCGAGGCTTCCTCAGCGGACCACTCGGTCACAGTGGGTCTCTGCCAAACGAAAAATTACAGGTACCAATTGATATCGATCAATATGGCATAACCCCATGCGAGAGGTCAACCTGGAACGATCGCATTGGAGGAACCGTTCCGTTCGTCGGTGAGGCTTGCATCTATTCACTCCTTGATGCACACTTATCAGAACGGAAACGACAGCGGAGCATAGTGGTGGCCAACGGAATGCGATGCCCATAGACCAATACTCATGCATCAATACCTTGTTTCTGGCTGAGAACATATAGTACCCTTGTTCGACTAAAAGAATACCTTTTCTGCAGCCACCCGGCCATACTAGTACAGAATCGCGCTGCACTTTGTAAATATGCACATCTACTATTGGAGAGGTACCACATATTCAACAGGGTGCCTCTCTAGCCACATAACCCGACTAGTTTGTGCGTGTTCAGGGCGTGCATGTACCTCTCGTCCTTACACATACGAACACGCAGTAAGGCGCTCTATTTTATGGCTACACTAAGCCTCCTTGTCCCTAAAGCTTCCACCTGTGTTGCTCATACTTATTCTTCACTAGATTCCTCCTGTTTTAATGGTAGCAGTAGGTGCTCGCCATTGATGTTGTGTTAATATCAGTGTGGTCACGTGATGTACGTGTGTGGGGCCAATGGGATGAGCCTACTTTGGCGAACATTTGAGATTCCCCAAGATAGCAAAGAGAAAACGTACCTCTCACAACCCTGTCTTTCACAAAATGCCTTTCACAACCCTACTTTTCACAACCCTGCCTTTCACGACACATCACAACCCTACCTTTCACAACCCTGCCTTTCCCAACCCTGTCTTTCACAACCCTGCCTTTCACAATCCCACCCATTTGCTAACTGCGGAGCGCCCGTGGATCCCTCAAATTTGGTGCGTGGTCATGAGCTACCCTCTCTAGCCTAGCGTCTATCATGAGGGTGCTTTTCACTCACCAGTGGCAAGTGTGCGCGTTTTGCAACCTTGTTGGCTCAAAAATCACGTTTTGATGCCCAACTTCTTACACAGAATCAATCACGTGTGCATTCCCCACCCAGAAACCCCTCCCCATTAATGATTTCTCACGACCTCCTGCTCTGATTTGGGGCACGACCTAGAAACGCTTTCAACATGTCAGCATCAAAAAACTCTAGATGCGCAGCAGGCGTTTAGCTGTCGAAATGTGCGCGTGTGTCGTGACATTGTACTCATAACCTCTAGTCGACTTACAGGAATATCGATATTTTCAGAAGCACACCATAAAGAACAGTCACAACACTTCAACACCTTAATTTGTGCAGATAATCCTTCACTGAAGTGTCAAAATAGGTCCTGATGGTTCGTACCAGCTCCTTTTACGCAATTGCATCTAACTTGTGTCTTAGTCGTTCACCGTTGAGAGCCTCGAACAACCCACTGATTTCAGTGAAGCCCAGAAAACTCCGAAGTGGATTGAAGGGAAAGGTCAAAAAGTGTGGTGGAGTTCCTGCTTTATCCATGTCTTTCCGAATGGCAAAAAAGATCCCTCACATACATATACCACATGTGACGGGCAAGGAACAATACCTAGAGGCATAGAGCTATATTTTGGTGGCCAAGGGGGACGAGTGAAGACAATATGACAGAACGAAGAATGAGGCACCATCTCATCGAAGTCTGAGTTTGTCCGCTATCAGAGTGCCCTCCCTCAGTCCCAGGGACAAAAAGACAATTGCCACATCGTTGGCTCCTTGTGAAATCACCATCGATATGCACTCCGTGGTGTCATGTCCCAGCTTGGCTTCGACCTGATATGGAGGACTCGCCATGACGGCGGCATAGGTCTCGAGGCCAAACATGGATGAGATGATATCATGCCGACAACCTCGTAAAGTGAACTTGGGGTTGGGCACTACTCTCGCACCACCAGGCAGACAAATATACCGAAGCCCTTCTGTGGTTTCCAAATGTGCATTAAATAATTCTTTGGCCATATGCTCTACTTTGTTAGCCGTGATCTCTAGTGCCATTTGACACTCTATCATGGTCGTAACTCGAGCGTCTGGGAATGTCATTGAGATGGTAGCGACAAATGCATTCTCGTTGCTGGGGTCCTGTATTCTCCTGATTGCTTTTGAAAGATATGGCGGAAAAAATTTGCCGATTTCTGCAAGTGACCCATTGACCACTTCTTGTTCTGTTCCAGTGAACATGTCGGAGGAGAGGTATACCAGGCGCTGCCCTTGGGGTGAGCGATCAATAGAAAGGTATACTGCGCTGGATGATGCAGCAGGCGGGCTCGGCATGTCCCCAGATGTTGTCGGCAAGCTGCCTTCGCAATCTGTTGTACCTGAGAGATGTGAATAAGGACAGTTGATACATTTTCAGAAATGCTTACGTCGCCTTTTGTTTTGTTGCAATATGTCATTTTGAGACTCTTTAATCAGTTTTTCATACACATTTTGCATTCTGTCCCTCACTCTCGTTTCAGTACTGCTCGCAACTGCACCTGCCAACGCCTTCCGGTATTCCGCAGGCGTAGCCTCCAGCTCGTTAATCAGCGTGCTGAAAGCCGCTTTGCCCCTAAAATGGCTTTGCTTTTCTGCATTTTGTTTCACGAGGATATAGGCCAGCCAGGCATTAAAACCTCCCGCGTCAAGGAAGAGTCTTGCCGTAGAGTCTTGCGCAGCCTTCTGTACGTCCTGCCATGATTGGAGATATCCGTTTGGTAGTCGTTCGTTCTCTTTGAGTTGCTTAGAAAAGAGTATTATATGGTCAGGATTTACTCCAGTGCTGCTAATGGCAACCTGCGTATCATCTTCCATGGTCTCTCGTCGTGCATTAAGTTTCAACGTAGCCTGTAATGCTACCGCAAAACTTTCATAGCCTACTACGTGGTTAGACAAGGTAAGGTGCTTGCAAGCGTAGGAAAGATGGAAATGTAGAACAAGGGGGAGAGGTGGGAAAGCTGGAAAGCTGGAAAAGGTAGGAAAGTTGGAAAAGGTAGGAAAGCTGGAAAAGGTAGGAAAGAGTTTGAAGGAAGAAGGGCAGCTTTTACAAGTCATGGCAAACCTTGGCTTAAATCTGACACTTTGGGTGCAGCAAGGGGGAAGCTCCTGCTATTTTCTTCCACGTGTCATCAGTCTAACGTGTTTTGGCCTAACGCCTCGATTCGACCTGAAATTCCTAGTCTGGTAATGCAAGGTCCTGTCGCTGACGTGTCAAGAACCATTACATTCGATTGGCTATAGGATTCCTTCCTGCTCAACTCAGCACGTCGGCGGTTTTCATGACTGTTGGTGTGAAGTACTATATGAAGAGTCTAGATGACAAAAGGACTTATAAATTCCTCAATTCCGTTCTGTTGTAGAATCATCGTCTCAATTCACTACCCTTCTGCCAACTTCCACGAACAAACTAGTCTTTCCCAGCAGAAACTTCCTCAGTATGTGTTCTAAGGATGTCGCCACGAAAATTTATGAGTGCGGTGACCGGGTCACGGAGGATTTCAACTTCAAATCATGTAAAGATATGACTGCTCAAGGACATAAGGTCAAGGTCACAACTCTAGGTTCAAACAGGGTTAAAGGGAAATGTGGGAAGGTCAACTGCACAAATCCCTAGGCCGTTTGTCCTCGTAAGTTATGCGAGGGAACAAGTTCTCTTCCCATGGCTAACCCGATCTTTAGCTTAACCACCTCTATGTTTAACGCTGGACTATGGAGTATTTTTTCGAATCTAGAAATCAGCCGTTGAATCTATACTTAGTAACCTAAGCGAGCTAATGAAAGCAACGGATGAGATCTTGTCTATTTTGTGTACAAATTTAATCTCTAGAATTCTAGGACCCCCTTTCCATCAAATTACTGGCGTTGTTGTCAAACAAAATAGGCATATTGGCTAGCGCCGCAGGTTTCTAGCAGATTGAGATTTTAGTGAATCACGTGTTGAGAGGTTAGTATACGCTAAATAAGTCTTAGTGCCAATACTT